TATTCGATTTCTGGTTAAATTTTTATCGGAATCTATTGCCGTGGTTTTTCTTTTTTGAGTGGTTTTTCGGTTTTTCATAGATTCCAATCCCCCCTCCTGCCTCGTAAAGTTTTTACATACCTTTGTTGTGCAACTCATTATATTCATCAAATGGTTGTCTCCCTCATAGAGGACTTCGAGCGACGTTTTGGCGCATGCGTCATATTCAGCCCCATCGGTTTTCGATTTCTCGTCACAGTCGGTGACATTTGAAGTGAATTGGCACCAGTTATCGGGCGGTTCCGGAACACATTCGTAGCAAGTTATTGCCGTCACTATTTGAAAAAAATCAATAACTTGTTTTAACAACTATGTATTGAAGAATTGTTTCTCGAGTTTATTAAATAGAAGATATTACATGGCCACTTGGAGATACGAAATTTCTCTTCGAGTGTTGAAAAATATATATTTTTTCAAAACAAGAAGAGAAATTTCCCCGCAAGAGCTAAGCAAATACCTTCAAAGTTGTGAATTCTTTTGTTATTTAAAATCATTCTGTGAAAAAGATTATTAAATTTAGTTTTAAGCTTGTTTATGAACAAGTCAACTAAATAAAGTAAGCAAGACTTAAGCTTAATTTGCATTTGCGCTCTTAGATACCAACTTTGGCCTTCGTTTTCTCGGCTTATATTTAACGAAAATGCTTCATTTTTGGAATTTGAGTTCAGGTCAAGAGTACATTTCAAATAAGCGATTTTCTAAGCGTGATCATTTTTTGACTTTATAGCAGAAAAAGACGAAGTTCGGTTTGGAAGTTTTAACAGATAAAGCTTTGTCTTTTTTACTTGAATTTATCGATAAAACAACCGACATGTGGTTACTTGAGGTGCTTTGCTTTCTTGAGGTTGACATGAATTACTTACAGATTAGGCTCTGTGAACTTAAGAATAGGTAAGGGGGCTCCTATCTTTCGATTTTAGTTGACAATACTCACATTCGTAGTAGTTTCTATACTGTTTACAGTCAGCCTGATATTTCAGACGTCTCCTCGAGTGCGACTCGTGAAGACGGCTGAAATTCAAGCTAGTTTACAGTCTCCTCTTTTTCCCCGCCGCTGTGGTTGAGGATGGCGATCGCCGCTGTGATTTAATTTGGGCATACCCTGTGACGATGCATTTTTTTCCACTCTGTGTGTTGAAACGCTATTTCCCCCTATATTTCGAGCCCAAGCCTAATTTATCGAAGACACTTAAAGGTTTGCTTATGCGACTTGTTATTTTTGAGAACACTATTATTCAGTTAAGTTCGCTGAATATTACAGTATCCGTTTGTTACGTGTCCGGGTCAATGGTGAATAGAAAGGAAAGAAGCCGTCCGTCTTTGTTTGTTTGTGTTTTTGTTCCACCTTGCTAAATATATCATCATCTCGGAGCATTTGGTTCCGTCGTGTCAGTGTCCTGTCTGGGGTCTGAAACGGGCATAGGAAGTCTGTGTGGATCTCCATGATCACGGGAATCACAACAGCCCCTCCCATAAAAGTTGCAGTTCTACACACACACGTTAGCAAACCATTCGAATTAGTACCAACTTCGCACTCACCAGTTTAGTCGTCATACCCAAATCACTTTGACAGCGGTGATCGCAATCTTCAACTTGGCAGAAGAAAATAGGGGGCTGTGATCTAGCTTGAATTTCAGCCATCTCCTCGAGTCGCAAACTTCACTTGCGACTCCGGAGACGGATACAATTCAGGGTAACTGATAACAGTTAAAAACTACAGCTGCGCTACCACTCCCACTGCAACTGATTCACAGCGAATGTGAATCTTATCTACTTAAGTCCAAAGCAACGAGCCCCTAAGCTGTTCATACGGTCGCAAAGCCGTAAATGGATAACCATTAAACCGCATGGCAAACAATCACCAGGGGTGGCTGTGTGAGGAAAGCTTGAAAACCCCACTCTTCGATAATTCGCGATCCATTTTAATATATTTTGAATTTAGAAGCAAACCTTCACTCATTACTGTCATTTGCATGGACCCTCGCCCCACAAATTATTTGCGACAAAATATTGTTTTCTCAAACCCGGAGATGATACGAGTTTCTTTTTCTTTATTTCTTTCTTTTTCGGTTTTTTGTTATTTTACGTTATTATTAATTTTTACAAAAATTATTTTATTATTATTATTATTATTATTATTATTATTATTATTATTATTATTATTGAAGAAGAAGAAGAAGAAGAAGAAGAAGAAGAAGAAGAAGAAGAAGAAGAAGAAGAAGAAGAAGAAGAAGAAGAAGAAGAACCTTTATTAATTTATACCGCTCAGGGTAGCCCCTTCAGACGCAAAAAGCTGTCTGTTATCAATGGGAGCCCTGAGCAACAACGCACAAAAACACACTAAACATATAAACATTACACTAATACAGGTAATAATATAAATAGAAAACTATTTTCAATTAAAAGATTAAAAGATGTAAAACACGAAATATCATTAAGATAATTCGTTAAAAAGAGTGCAACCATAATAATAGAAGGATCTTTTTGCAATTTCAGTTCTCACAGCAGGCGGATGTAAGAGGTTGCTTTGTCTAGTAGCGCGCGCATGGATTGTATTATTACGTTTAAAATA